ACAATCTGGTCTTGTCTAGTCTGTATTACCACGACTAGCCCAAAGCCGTATGTCTTTGTTTTTGTACTTGTCTGCGTCGATAAACCTTGTTAAAATAACTTTCTCAATAAATACGTTGCTCACCCACGACGAATCCAGGATCACTTTGGGAGCTTCTAGTCCAATAATACGATCATTTTGACAAATAACGAACACAGACTTAGAAGAAATACAAAGACTCAAAAAGAAACAGGAACTGGGTGAGGTTTTGGGTGCGGCCACTGAGCTATATGGCGCCGCGAACTGAAGTTAGAAAACTGAAACGATATCTCCAAATAATTTTTTTAGTATTTTTGGACCAGGAACTGGTCCCTAGCCGCTGCTAATCTCTTCTTCTTCTTCTTCTTCTTCTTGTTAGGGGGCGACGCTCTTTAAAAAAACCCTAAGGCTCTATCATTACTTGTTTGATCGGAATGAAACTTGGCACAAGAGATAAGCGAACAAATGCAGTTCTTGTGTCAATTCACTTGTGCAAAAATACTAAAACAGTTATTCCCCGATAATCAACGAGCCTGAGGCAAAAAATTTTTAAATGTCCTATTATTGAATTATTTGTATATTTTTTTAATTGCTCATAATGGTAGTGACCGCTCAAAAAATACCGCCTTTAAAAACACTGGGGAGAGCATCAAGAAGTGAGAAATTCAGTTAAGATCGAGGCTTTGGGGAATAATTTACAAAAGTACACTTCTTTAAACAATCAGATCTAACTTCTCCAAATCTGACAAATTTGCGATAATTTATCTTTTTTTCTAATTATTCTCTTTAGGCTGCTTTCCACGCATGCGTTTTTCATATGCACGTACACACACACGGAAGTCTAAATCAATGATATATGTTAGCTTTGAAAAAGTAAATAAATTGAAAGAATGTTAAAGCATTTTTACGTATGAAACGTATCTACGCCTGCGTATGAAAAACGCTTAAAGACCCGTTGACATGGTACCGGAGAAGGTCGAGTTTTGAAGATAATGAAAGACAATGTAGTTATTTAATGTTTGAGCCCTAAATAAATATACCAAATCTATGAAATTAATAAGCATTTAGTAATAATCGTTGCTTCATAACGGCAAACGAAGATGTGATGAGTGGATCCGGTACCGTGTGACGCAGCTTAAGTGGAAGGCAGCCTTAAGAAGCCAGGCAATAACAAAGTGATTGGAAGCGAACCGCATTTTTTCAATTGTTTCGACATTGCTGGAATCCTTCATGGGAGAAATTACCACAATAGGAAAATTCAAATATATCGGAGCCACTGTTGCAGACATCTTAAAGACAACTTAGGGGATGTTAGCAAAAACCAAAATAAGAAATTTCAACAAAAAAGTGAGAGCATGAAAAAGTTTGCCAAAAAAATTTTTTACAAAGTACAAATTTACAATATATTGCTGGCAGTAACGAACGCAGTAAAGATAAAAAACGACGTTTGAAACACGCCTAAGATATTAATTGTTGTGTTGTTTCGTGACCTTTTTTTTCATGAACATCAGATGTCCTCAACATAATATTATTCACATTTCAGTCAAATTTTTACAATTTTCCAGCTCCGCTTCAGACTATAAACACCTTCCCGCCCAGCTAAAAAACGAACGTCCCCTGTAATGTACATAGTTCTTGCAGTTCCATTAGGGGCGATACTAGAACGTTAATTGAGGGGGTGCTTATTCATATATTCAGTTCTGCGCGACGGATTTCTATTCCAAGCTATTACACTTACAAAAGAAATCCGTCGGGCAGAACTGAATATATGAATATTCAACCCCCCCCCCCCTAAATTGTTCTCGTGCATGACGTCACTGAGTTCCATTATCTTTCTTTTTCATCAGCATCAAACTTAAGGAACAAAATACAGCTAATATAGTTACTACAATTCTACCATTATTTCATGACCAGCACAATTACTATCAGCACCATCCTAGAAACCAGCACACCACCACCATCATAGAATAGAATTATCACCACCAACATGACTGTAACTACCATAATAAACATCGTAAACCCACCATCATACGACTGGCATTGGTCACAGTTTTCTAGGACTTGTTTCTTGCAGATGTATTCAAGATATCACCTCTGTAACCCCAGTTAGGGAGGCAAGGGAGTGCTATGACTTGCCCAAGGTGAACTCCTAGACAAACGGAGGGAAGGAGGTGTCTTACTTCTCCATTCTGGACCAGCTCCAAGCAAAGTCTAGCCGCTGCCCGAAAACAATGTTCTTGATGATAGTTTTCATGTTATTGCTCACTCAATCCAGTAACTGAAAAATGAATTCCAAAACACTGTCGTTCATAAAAAAGGCTTTATCAGCTAAATCTTATCCTATTGGTTTTTGTCCTCGTGTGAACGAGTTCACTTCAGTTATTTTTAAGAACAAAGATATTCGTATTTAATTGGTATAAACAACTTGCAGGGAAAACCAACATGTAAGTAAAAATTTTTGTAGATTTTTCTAAAAGCAGTCTAAACCTTTTTCCACAAGACGACTTTATTCCGGTTAAAGAAAGGATTGACTACTGCACCTCGCTTAATATCGTCCTACAAAACTGCCCGTCGCTTAATATCGTCCAACAAAGGATCTGGTGGAATAAACAGTCGAAGAAACACCATATCGCCTTTGTAGCCAGGAAAAGCCAGCACTTTTGGGGAAAGTTGAATTGTTTGGCTTGGCCTAAAAGTCTTCAAGTATGGTTGATAGGAAGTGTTGAGAATCGCGCCAGAGTCCATGTCAAAAAATACTATCAGGTATTCAGATAAAGTTAATACAATTCTACTCTTGTTAATACAAAATGACTTCAAATAAGGAATGGGCTGGAATGCAGGAGTTATATATTGAAAATCACCAGTGTCCAGATCAATTATCTCACTCTTATCAGAACTCCTGTGCATGACTATTGCGACTTTGGAATCATTACTGAAAATTGCGACATAAGACAATCTGTCAGACCTTCCAGCGTCACGGTGATAAAAGACTTCATACAAAGTTGGGTTTTCGGTATTTCTTTTCCAAATATAACATTTATGCTTATTACAACCAGAGATAAAGGCACCACCAGGCGAGATTTCTACTTCCATCTTAGGCTCAATTCCAGGCAAATTGATCATTGCAGGACCATCAACATCTCTCACATCGAGAACTTTCACTGGTTTGAAGCCTCCGAGAGCCAAGCTGACAAAGCCTTCAGAAAAACCAACCTTTAAATCTAGGAAATCAGACCAGTTCTCTGGCCTGAATTCAGACAAGTCTCCAGACAAGTCCTCTAGCAAAACGTCCTGACTGTGAGTAAACAAGATCTCTCGATTGTCATCTACCTGGTATCGCGTTAATTTTGGAATCCTGTTAAATTCACTAATCACAAACAAGAAATCTTCCGACCACCAGCAAAAAAATATTGACCTCCATTGACTGTTTTTGAAACGTTGTTCAACTTGGCTGGTATAGACATTCCATACGTTGATATATCCATCTGAGTTGCAGGATGCAAGTCGAGAACTGTCAGGAGAAAACGAACTCGAATAAACGAACGTTGCCTGTGACAAACAGGAATGATCTTGTTTAGGAGCTAATGTCTTAAAGACAATTAGTTTTATATTATCTGAATAGAGCCACAGATTATCTTTAAAGCTGTCATTTTGACTCGAAGAAAGGGATCATAGTAAGAATAGGCAAAAAATAGTTCCAAGCAACAATCACAGTCAAAGGAATTCTTTCTGTGTCACTTGAATAACAATATTCTTCCATAGAAATCGAAAAAATACACTCCACACCTTTGCAGACCCACGGACACGACATTATACATTTTCTTTCATGTGTTTCATCACATAACCTCACTTCATATTTGTCATATAACCTTACTTCTAACTGTTTGTAATTTGGTTCGTCAAATCCCCGCTGAAAACATCGTTCACATTTCCTACTCTTTAACACAACTGGTTTCTCCCTTTCCCCGTGAGATAATTTTCGCTCACACTTCTTTGTAATGTGATAGCGTTCCAAACACACAACGAATAACCCAGATAAGATCGAGATTCTGAATTCCCAATAATAAATAAACCTGTGACGCTAAAAGAACACCAATCAACAAGAAATTCAGCACAAAGCGACGACAGCAACCTTTTTTTAGCAACGTCCCATAGTTTAATGGTGTTTGAACCGTCGCCAGTCACCAGTCTTTTGCCGTTAGGGGAAAATGCACAGGTCTGGAACGTCTCCTCATTTCCAGGGAAAAATGGAACTTCCTTTCTTGCCAGCAATGTTAAACGCCGTTTCCAGTTTACCAAATAATATGAGCGAATCGTCTGGAGAAAATGCGCATTGAATTTTTTCCAATTTTGTTGAATAGTTCATAATTTCAACCAAAGTTGGTAGGGAAAACATGGATAAAATTCTCTATTACAACTGCTGCCTTTTTCATCGTTAGATAAAGCAACAGCTGTAATATAATAAAATTGATTCTGCTCGTAACTGTCTTTCCAGAATGCTCGCGGCAAAACCGAAACTTCGTAAGACTTCGACTCAAAAAGGTGAAAGGTTTGATAGTAGCGTCTCCGCGATTTTCTTCTCATCATCGCTGAAATAACCTTCTGGAGAACGGGTAAGAACCGCTTGTAAATACGATTGTGAAGATATGGTCGAATAAACTTGTTTTGAATGTTTGTAATATCCACTCAGGCGTTCCAGGGCTCGATGGTCACATTCAATGACATGGTACGAAATGCGGGCGCGAAACCCTTCGTTTTTATTCCAAGGACTTTGCAGTAATTTGAGCCAGAAACTTACCAAATCGCGTGAATCGTTCAAAGTTAACATATAAATACTATAATAACATCAACAGACCAAAACACACCTCCTCCATTTCACACTTTTCTAGATGTTTTAAACCATGTTTCAGAGCGTATTCCACGTCATTAGTAAGCTTCACTTCAAGTCCTGAGTGAACACCTTCCACAATTTCTTTAAAAACCTTTTCGCATAAAAGCCAAAGCGATCTATGTCCATCATCGACCTTGACAGTATACTGGTGATCTTTGTAGCCCTTTGCTAGAAGCCAATCAATAAAGGATTTGTGAAAAACGGTTAACATGTCATCTGAAACGTACAACAAGCATGATACGGTTTCATTAATTTTGTTGATATGTCTTTCGTTTCGCGACAATCTGGAGCTAAACTAAAAACCTGAGCGACGAAAGTGAGGGGAAGAGATCCTTCGCAAGCAGTCAGTATTTCTAAAATTTTCAACACATTGAACTTTTCATGTTTATATCGCTAAGCTCGTCTTCAAGGCGTTTAAAATATCGTTCGTAAACAGAATTCAGTCCTTCTGGGAGAAACTCCATGACATCAATATTTGTTATCTTCTCAAGATCATAGCGAGCTCTTAGCCCAGATTGAAACTGATATGCATAGAGAAATGAGCCCTGGCATTTGGCAACAAAAATGGAAAGTAACTGTAATGGACGATCCTCATAGAATTCATCGCTCATCTCACTTTGTGTCACTTCCCTGCCGACTAAACTTGGTAACCATTCTTCAAAAAAAGTTCAAATCTGAGTTATTGTTGTCATCAACATTAGAAATGTCTGTCTTTTGCTCGTCTATTAGTCTTAGATCAGCAACGGAAATCTCTGGTCTGCTCGTCACCAAGATTTTTATGTACTCGGGAAGCTCACAAAATATTCAGCAATCAATTGTGTAATTTCATTCTTATTATCTGCAGCACTTTCATCCAAGCCATCGATCACGACTAAACGTGGCTCTTTTATTTCAGTTCATCTAAGGGATTTTGCAAATATATTAGAAATGCATCTCTCAGGTTTTGGACTTGATGACGTCGTCCTAACTGATCAAGGAGCTCCTCTTTAAAACCAGGGACGCTCTTGCACATCTGACTTGCGAGAGACTCCAACATCGCCATAGGATCTCTTAGGTTTGAATTACTAAAATCACAAAAGTGACAAGCAGCTAGCTTTCCATTCTTCTCAAAATCTTCACAGATTTTAGCGGCAAACACGCTTTTACCAAATCCTGGTCCAGCTGTTATTAACTTTATACGTGAATCAGTATCACTGTTACAAACCATTCGTCAACTTCCCTTAACAACCACTGTCTTGTTCCAGGTAGGAAAAGTTTCACTTTTCTTTGAATTTTATTCTTAAAATTATGCTTAGCAAGTTTTCGCAATAAATCTTCGTCACTTTCCATGCGGGATTTTTTTTCAGGATTGGTGTCCCGGGGTATTGATGGCGTACCCTTGACCAATGACTCGCGAATTTCATATACTGCATCGCGCGTTTCATTTACTGCATCGCGCGTTTCATTTACTGCATCGCGCGTTTCATTTACTGCATCGTGCGTTTCACTTACTTCATCGTGCGTTTCATTTATTGCATCGCGCGTTTCATTTACTGCATCGTGCGTTTCATTTACTGCATCGCGCGTTTCCTTTACTGCATCGCACGTTTCATTTACCGCATCGCGCGTTTCATTTACTGCATCGCGCGTTTCATTTACTGCATCGCGCGTTTCATTTACTGCATCGTGCGTTTCACTTACTTCATCGTGCGTTTCATTTACTGCATCGCGCGTTTCATTTACTGCATCGTGCGTTTCATTTACTGCATCGCGCGTTTCCTTTACTGCATCGTGCGTTTCACTTACTGCATCGCGCGTTTCATTTATTGCATCTTGCGTTTCATTTACTGCATCGTGCGTTTCATTTACTGCATCGTGCGTTTCATTTACTGCATCGTGCGTTTCATTTACTGCATCGCGCGTTTCATTTACTCCATCGTGCATTTCATTTACTGCATCGCGCATCTCTTCAGTGACTTGTGTTATATTATTTACATCCGCTTCAATTACTTTAAGCAATTTAATACACTCATCTTCGTGCAGTTTCCAATCTTTAAGCTTTTGCACATACATTTCTCCTTAAGGCATAAGAGGACATTTTTCTAAGTCGTCGACATCACTCTGTGAAACGCCCAATTCTACTATCGCTTGGGAGATTTTCTTCCATAAAGGAACAAATGTTGAATTTTGGACTCGAGTTGTTGTTACATGTGCAATAACTTCATTTCTGTAAAACTTGATTCTTGTGATATTCGCTTGCGTTGATCTATCAGTATCCGGAGGCATTACACTCCATCCTGTTGATGGAAAACCACAAATGTTTCGGAATAGAACTGTAAGCAATGTGACATCAAAGGTTTTGGAATCTGGTGGGTTGCCAGACGGAGAAAACAGTAAATTCCACTGGAAATTATTAATAACTCGAGGTTTTAACTTTTGAAGAGATGTTTTTCTTGTAGCCAGTACTCCAGGTAGACTAACAGGTGGATGGATGGTATCAAATGTATTTCTCAAAGCCTCAGTTCCTTTGTCAACCAAAAGTCTACTGAGTCTTGTAAAATTTGCTTTTTCTTGCGGTTCGTCAGAAGCCATGGCGTAAGACAGAGTAAATTACTGTAACAAAATGGTTGTATTATTTAGCTATATGGGTTGGGATCCTCTACCAGTCGTTAGTTTTAGTAATTATACAATTAAAATTATTCTGAAAACATCGACAGAAGCCATGACATTCCACGAAGTTTTACTGCAACAAATGGGAGTTAATACTAGATGGGTTTCGTTAAAAAACTCCAGGTATGGCTACATATATCTAATTAATGCTATTTTGTGTAAATGGTTTTGAGTTATACCACGTGGACCGAATGTGTTATGAGGGCAATATCTCGACCAATACAATGACAAACGATGAAGCATTATGGTAAACTAAACAGCTGAGAATGCTTTCCCTGACATGGAGAAATAAAATATAAACAAATTGAAATATTTACAGAGGTTAAACAACGTATCCACTGGAAGGTGATATTGGTTTATCATTATTGAAGCATGACATGCAGTATTGAGCCTGGCGCACGATGGTTAGCTACCAATGCACACTTATCACTCGCGGCAATTTCCTTCCTAGTCTGTTTGAACTGAATCGACAGCACAAATGGCAGGATATCTCAATTTTGACCCCGCAAAATGTGATACGTGCAGGTTAAAATTGTTAGGTGTGAGCGTTAAGAGCACCAGCGTGCGCCAGGTTTAAAGACGAAGACAAACAATTGCATAAAAGAACATTCAACTTTAATAAGAATACGAACAAAACATTTAGTTTGAAATATACCAAACGATGCGCAGGTTACGCATCGTGCACGTTTCCGTAACTTATCCCTGACGCTGCTATTAAATAGCTTTTAAGGTATGGGGCGAAATGAAATTGATTTGTTTTCCTATTTATGTATTTGTGAAGAATTATTTCTTCCCTTGTTCGTTGTGTGTTGTATAGTTCAGTCTAATGCATCCTGGGGCTGTCCCATGTGTCTCCGACCAGATCTGGTATAAATACAATATATTGTTACATTGAACTAACCTATATACTTGGGAATAAAAACATTCAATAAATCCAGACCAGGTCCAACAAAGAACTCAATGACTTAATTGTTCACTGTATGTGATCGCTTTGCGATTACTAGAAATACGTGACATGCCTCATTTTCAAAGAACATTCGAGGCCAACTCTCACTCAAATCCGATTCAAATGCTTGATGAAACACGTCATTTATTAACTGCCAACATGATCTTTCATTGACAAATGGAGAAATAAAAGAAACGAAATTTGCGATATTATTTAATTAAGGTTGCATATGCTAAATGCCTTAACAGAATGATGCAGCACTGTGCCAGGACAACATATTATAATATTTAAAAGTGACCGAAACGCACTTTTTAAATCTTGAAGCAACAAACCAACTGCAGCGTCTATACTCTACATAATTTAGTCACAAATAGTACAAAAACATTGCGGATAAAAAACACCAATCACTTTATGCTATCCTGGTGGTTATTTATCGAGCTTGCTGCTTGCATGGGTATAGGCCTATGTTTTTATAGCTTTATTAATTTCAGCCCTAGGGAAGAGGGATGCGAGTTGCGTTGTCTAGTGCTCTTTGTATAGATTCTTTCATCTTACATATTACATCATCTCTTTGAATATCAACAGTCTTTAATATTTCCTACCTTCGACTTCGTTAAACGAACCACCATAAACGATCATTAAAGATGATAACTTGAATTATTTTTCTTGACATGATAAAATTTCTTATTTATAAAAGAAACCACATCATGATGTAATTCCACACAACTTAAGATAAAGTTACTCCACAGCTTATTTGTTAAACACGATGGTCTGGTTAGTAATTGTCCAGCAAGTTAATACGTGGCTTTAGAAACCAACAACGCGTGAGATGAGAAAACTTAAGATATTAAACAAAGCCGGTTTGAAGCTTTTAATACGACGCCAGAGCGCTGTGCCGTGGTTATTAATTTGTCGACCTAAAGCTTACTTCGTGTGATAGTTGTCAATCGAGTCATTGTATTGCTTCCAATTTGCAGGATTTCTTTGCAAAACCTATTCATTTCAAAGCAGATATATACTTTTAGCTTTTTTAGGCTTTTCAAAGACTTGTGTTATTGTGGTATAAACAGACTATAATTTCTTGGTTGAACCCCGCTGCAGAAGGAAAGGAACAATTTGATAGTTGGTTAAACTGAGACTTGTATAGGTAACTAGTTGGTCAGTATGAAAATACAGGATAACGGGTAGCACATGAAGTTCCAATCAAAGAAAGTGCCAGAGTTTTCGTCAGATGAAACAAAATTAATAAAAGAAAGATAAATGTGTCTTATCTAATAGAAAAGTCGCCCCATGACGTAATTCCACCGCCCTCATATGTCAATATTATTAATTTATCACAATTATCAGTATATTATTGTCAGTATCAAGACGAGTAAAGGAAATTAGGAACGAAATTTACGATTTTATTGAAGGTTTCGCTAAACGTTTTAACATGACGTCACAGCGCTGTGCCGTGCCTGGAATACTTCGCTGTTGACAAAGTAAAATGATTTATAATCTTCAAGAGACAAAAACGTACCCATGAAATTCACGACGTAGACATAATTCCACAGAATTAGGCCACAAATAAAATAATAAACGCTAAGAAATGTTCAGAAATCCAGCAGACAAGAATAAAACAACACTCTGATGGGATCCTGCTGGTTCTTTGTTCAACTCAATGTTGTAAAATATCTGCGTTGTGAACTAACGCTTAGGTTAAACATTAATGCCACGTCAAAGCACTTTAACATTTTCAGTCATTTTTTAACCGTTCGCTAGCGAAGTATTTACATATTTTCTTTTCAATTTTAACACAATAAATAAATTAGTTCAGCTTGACTGTTCTTATTTCAAAAGAAAATATGCAAATATTTCGCTAGCGTAAGCAACCACTGTTATGTACTCGACATTCAGTGTAAAAAGATGTATATTTCATATCAGAAATCATTTATATACACATATAATATTTACGTTCATTGAATACTAATTATACCTAACTAATTATTCCAAAGTCTCAACATCTCCCTCATTCAAGAAGATTTAATAAATGTCAGAAGAAATTATAAAGTTTTAAATGTTTTTTTTTTCTCAATGTTTTCTCACAGTTATACTAAATATGTTCTGGATACTCAATCTGGATTCACTCCGTAACGCTGTGGCTTACGCACTCTGCGTCCATATCTCGTGATCTGGATTCCTTCTGTATTTGCGTGCTTCTCTTCTTCAACTGGTAAATGTTCTGTCTGCAGTGGTACGTGTTCTGTCTGTGGGGTATCCTCTTCTGAGTCCTCATTGAATGAGTCACACTGCCTTTCATTAGTCTTTAAAAGGTGTCGTCGATTTCGTCTGAATATTTGACCATCTTGAGTCTGTACCAGATACGATTGTGGTGCCGTATCATGTTGCTCAATGACAGTCACTTGTACCCACTTTCCTTTCCTTTGCATTCTTGCAGCCTCTCCTTTGCGAAGGGGCGGTAGAACTCTTGACCCAATGTCATAGTATTTCTTTTGGATTTGCTGACTTGATCGCAATTTTTCCACAACATTTTGTTGGATTTGTGGCTGTAACAATGGTGTAATGGTCGGAAGACGACTCTTCAATCTGCGACTCATAAGCAGTTGTGCTGGCGATTTATTAACGCTATCCAAAGGACTATTACGGTATTCCAGTATTGATAAATAGGGATCTTGGCCACTTTCATCAGCTTTCTTTAGTAATTTTTTTACTGTTTGGACTGTTCTTTCAACCTGTCCATTGGACTGAGGATACCCAGGGCTCGAAGTGATGTGAAGAAACTCCCAAACTTCGGAAAAGTTCTTGAATTCAACACTTGCGAACTGTGGTCCATTATCGCTGACGACCTCATCCGGTATTCCATGACGGGCAAAAATTGACTTTAATGCAGTGATGGTTGCTGAACTCTTTAAACTCGGAAGCTTAGCTACTTCTGGAAATTTAGAATAGTAGTCGACACACAGAAGATAGTTAGTGTTCTTGAACTCGAATAAATCAACTCCTATCTTTGCCCATGGCCGGTCTGGTATCTCATGAGGAGTCAAGGGCTGTTTGATGTTACTGTTCCTGTTTTCGTTACAAGTTGGACACTTTGAAACCATTTCTTCGATTTCATTTCCCATGCCGGGCCAAAAGAGTATTTCACGTGCTCTCTGCTTACATTTGACGATTCCCAAATGAGCTTGATGTATTCTTTTAAGCATTTCACCTCTCAGGACCTTCGGAACAATTAACTTCTGATTTCTGAACAATAACTGGTGCATATAAGTGAGCTCATTTTGGTACGACCAGAACTCTCGAATGTCGGGATGTACTTGACTTCTCGTATTAGGCCACCCGCTCAATATTACGGTCTTCAAGTTCTGTAAGGCTGTGTCTTGATCTGTGGCATCTTGAAATTCTTTTAGTTTCTCTGGAGAAATTGGCAGTTCCAGATCCAAAAGACAAACTTCTAATTCTTCATCAAGAAGACTTTCTTTCTCTTCATTTAAATGCGCTCGGCTTAATGTATCAGGGAGGTACATTTCTTTGCCAGGTTTGTAGGTTACTTCCAGACTGTAACGTTGAAGCTGAAGCAACATTCTCTGCAATCGAAGTGGCGTCTGGTGCAAGGGCTTTCGAAAGATGGCTTCAAGTGGTTTATGATCGGTTTCCACTTTTACCGTTTGGCCGTAGATGTACTGGTGGAACTTGCTGCAACCATAGACTACAGCAAGCAGTTCTTTTTCAATTTGAGCATATTTTTGCTGATTACTAGTAAGGGCTCTTGATGCATAGGCAATGGGTTGTTGATCTTGCATTATCACTGCACCAAGGCCATGTGAACTGGCATCGACCGACAATGTTACAGGACAATTGACATCATAGTACTTCAGCACTGGTGTTGAAGCAACTAGAGATTTCAGCTGTTGGAAACTCTTCTTCTGAGACTCTCCCCAATGCCATTCTGTCTTACTTTCAAGAAGACTTCGCAATGGTGCACTGATTTCTGACAAATTTGGTAAAAACTTTGCTAAATACTGGACCATACCCATGAATCTCATAACAGCTTGCTTATCAGCTGGTTCTGGCATCTGTTGGATTGCACGTATCTTCTCCGGATCAGGTTGTAAACCATCAGCAGTAAGTAAATGACCCACATAGGTTAGCTGAGTGCGTTGGATCTCACATTTCTCACGATTCAGTTTCAAGTTCCTTTCTTGACACCGATCAAGGACAGACCTCAAGCGTTGGTTATGTTGGCTGATATCCTTCCCCCATACCAAAATGTCATCTGCGATGCATTCAACTCCATCAAGTCCTTCGAGCAGTGTTGTCATAACTTTCTGGAAAACCTCTGGAGCTGACGAAATGCCAAATGGAAGTCTCTTAAAGCGATACCTTCCAAATGGAGTATTGAAGGTGCACAATGTGGAACTGCTATCATCAAGCTCTATTTGCCAGAAACCAGAACTGGCATCAAGGGTAGAAAATACCCGGGCCTTTGGAAGTCGCGATACAACCTCTTCAACAGTTGGCAGTGGGTAGTGCTCACGTCGGATGGCTCGATTTAAATCACGAGGATCAATGCATATTCTTAACTTGTTGGGTTTAACGACAGTTACCATACTGTTTACCCAACTGGTTGGCTCAGACTGTTTTTCAATCACCCCGAGATCTACCATCCGTTCCAATTCCTTTAGTATTCTGTGGCGCAATGCAGCAGGTACTTTTCTTGGTGGATGAATGACTGGCTTTATATTAGGATCTACTTCAATGTGATGTTTTCCAACTGACTGAATGCAACCAAGACCAGAAAATAAGTCTGGATAATGATTGAGAATGTCATCGCCACTTTCGTTGTCACCATCAGATCGATGCAAATTCATGATTCTTTCAATTAATCCCAATTCCAAACAGGTTTTCCTGCCCAGCAGTGATGGAGCATCTTCATCTATTATCTGAAATGTGATTTGATAGAACTTGTTCTTTCGCTGACATTCAAATCTTGTTTTTCCAACTGGAGTGATTTTGTGCCCTGAGTAACTTACCAATCTGGCATTCGATGCAACAATCGGGAAAATGTTATTTTGAGCGATGTTATTTTGAACAATGCTGTTGTAAACATTGCGTGACATGACATTGCACTGTGCGCCAGTGTCAAGTTTAACTTCAATAGCTTTGTTGTTTATTATAATATTTTCGGTCCAGTCGTCGTCGCTAGAATTTTCCACCATTCCGATGAAAAAATCATCCATCTCATCTTGGGTATCAACTTGGAATGCTTGCTTATTCACTGGCACTAATCTCGATCGACAAACTCGAGCAAAATGGTTTTCCTTTCGACAGTTATTACAAATCTTGCCAAAAGCTGGACAGGCCTTTTGATAACTAGAATGTTCTCCACCGCAATTTCCACACTTTCGTTGCACGTAGCCATAGTTTGACTGCTGGGTTGACTGATGTTGTTTTGAATACAACCTTGGATTTAGCGATTTACTCGGGTAAGTAAATTTAGATCTTTGCAGTGCATGAAGGGACTTGTCGTTGTCATCGTTAAATTCTTTCAACTCTCTTGCACTTGCTTCACTCGCACGACATATATCGATAGCTTTTTGTAAGGATAGGTCCGCTTCACGAAGTAATCTTGCTCGTAGTTGATCACTTCTGATTCCTCCGACTATTCTGTCACGTATAAGACTATCAGTCAATGTACTAAATTCGCAATGTTTAGCTTTGTTTCTTAAATCGGTAGCAAAAGCATCGATTGTCTCAGTTGGTCCTTGTGATCGTGTGAAAAATTGATGGCGTAGAAACGTTAAATTCTTTCGTGGTTCACAGTACTGTTTGAATTTGTCTTTTAAGATATCGATTTTGTGTTCATCACCTTCCTTGGCAAAGTCGAAGGCGTTAAATACGGCACGAGCTTCTTCGCCGGCCACGTGTAGAAACGTGGCACACTGGACTTTCTCGCTTTTCTCGCCAATTTCGCTCGCAATGAGGAAAAGTTCGAAGCTTTGAATCCACTTTCGCCAATTTTCTGCTAAGTTTCCTTCCAGGCAAAGTTCACCTGGAGGCTTTAATTGTTCCATTTTGTTCAAAAAAATCCCATACCTGACACCATGTTATGTACTCGACATTCAGTGTAAAAAGATGTATATTTCATATCAGAAATCATTTATATACACATATAAATATTACGTCATTGAATACTAATTATACCTAACTAATTATTCCAAAGTCTCAACAACCACCTTTCTGCATATGGAAATCAAGCCTTATTAACGCCGTGAAGTTACCCTACGCTTTTATAAAACTTAAACTAATTTTATGTGATCTCGATTTAATTTAATTAGTAACTGACTAACAATCTATGACATTGTTTTGAAGACCAACAATGCATAAGATGACATGAATGGTAATTTTAATAGAGATTGCTTTGTTCTTGTGATATAAACAAACTATAAATTCTTGGTTGAAAGCCTCTGAGGAAGGAAAGGAGTCAATTTGACGGTGGAATAAACAGATTTGAAATTAGTGGCTTATAAAACAAAACGATGGTTGAGACAAGAAATTCGATTTCATATGCCAGTTTTCATCAGATAAAACCAATATAAATGTGTCAATTTCTACCATAAAAGTCACGCTATGATCTAATCACGCAGCCTTAACTTTGATTCACTTTTACCACAGTTATAAAAAACAAATTTGCTGAAGCCAATCGGTTAATTATTGACAACCAACATGATATGCTATAGTAAGACGAATAAAGTATATTTGGAGCAAGATTTTGGATTTTATTCAAGGTTTTGCTAAACGTTTTAACATGACGCGAGAGCGCTGTGTCGTGTCTAGCATACCTCGTTGTTGACGAAGTAAAATTATTTATAATCTTCAAGAAAGAGACAAGAACATACCTTTATCAATTCTTGAAACCCATAATCCAACTACATGGCAATAATTCAGCGAGATTTAAGTCAAAAATAAACCAAATAGACGCTAAGAAATGTACACAAACCTAGCGAACAAGAATACACCAAACACTCTGATGGTATCCTGCTGGTTATTTAATGAACTCAAGTTATTCATTCGAAATTGTCGTTGTGTGGGTGTCATACAGGGTGTGTCAAAAACAATATAATTTGCATAAGTTTATATTGCAGAAAACATTTCAATATCCGTGCGACTAATTGTGCTTCGAATATTTGACGTATTTGACATTAGAATAACCACACAAAGTTCAATTACAGAACATCCAAGCATGGATTGTGTTCACCTAAAACACTCTGCAGAATTTGTTAATATTCCTTATTACTGAATTTGTCTTGTGTCGGTGAGATCTTCCTCATTGAAAGCTAGGATCCTCCTCGTATGGAAGTGACCAGAGATTTTCTACCGTGCAGATCTACACAAAATGTGCTGTTTCAAAGCTATTTGTGTAGTCCCAGAAACATAAATGCGCAGTTACGAATTAAATAGAGGATTAGTAAAAAAAGTCTTCATGTAAATTTTAATCAACATCAGAATATCAGTAGCGGACCAAGGCAAGAACCCATGCAGAGAAACTCCATTTACTTTGCCCCGTTTATAGAACAAACATTTTTGGTACGGCACGCTTAATTTTTTTCAAGACAGGCTAAAAGAAATTGGCGCCGTAACTAAGCCTGTTTACGCGTTATTTCACTTTTTTAGGCCTAAATACCACAAAATTTTAGAAATCACCCAATAGAATATTTTTGGCACCCATGAGCACACCACAGTTGCTATATAAGTCAGCAGATTAACAAAGCACAGATGCATCAATTGAAGCAAATGAACATGCATGGTTTAGTTGACAAAATAAAGGAAATAAAGACAACTTGTTAGACCATCTGGTAATCATGCCATAAAGACCTTCTTAAAAATTTATCCTTCGAACAAAAAACAAATCTTTTTGCCCGCGTTATAGTGTCGGTATTTTTGCATTTTATAACTTGTTGAATGACTTCAGCACCCTAGGCTTCTATTAAAACATTTGTTTTCGTGTCCAACCAGAGCTTTTCCTGCTGTTCTTTCCCGCCATTTTGCAATAATTATTTAATCTGCGCATGATCAACAATAAAAAATTGCTGATGAAATCAAAGAACATTCGAGGCAGTCCCTCGCTCAAATCAGATTCAAAATTGCTGATGCAACTCAATATTTTCGGCACGATGTCCAAGCTTTGACAGGTCGAGAACATCTTTTAAAGCGGTCTCGACACGAATAAAATTACTAGTCTGTGGACTTATATTATGTCTGTTTGAAGGAAAAAATTTAAGTGCCGTGCCATTTTCTGCCAGCGTGGAAAAAATTAAGCGTGCCTTGCCAAAAATGCTTGTCGTGTAAACGAGGCTTTAGTCACTGCATGGTCATGGTCACCAATAATATATGGCGGACTATCGCTGACATACGAGAACCAGTGAACTAGGCTTGAAGCCTGGTTTTCATATTGTCAGAGATCATTGGAGAATAAAGTTCTGTGTTATTTTCCAAAAATTTTCTTGGTGAATGGTTATCAACAATACATCACCGACTGTCGGTGGTTAATAAGAACGCCAGGGTTATAAGCCAGGTCGATGGTTATTGTTGGTGAATGCAGGAGAATAGAGAGCTTTGTTATTTTACACAAATTTCGTCAGCGGCCAGGGGAAGGTTCTCCAAACCCCCCACAACTCCCGCATCTATAAATTATCAATTTTATATTTCGAACTATTTTGTTCCGCTCCCACCCAAAACCTCACCTAACAATTTCCTAGAAAGACCTCGCGGTCATTAATATCCCTTCATTGGTTTCTGTTGTTTCCTCTGTTTTCTTGAGGGTAATAATGATTCAGGTAATTTTTTCAGTCAATCTGGCAACCCTGATTCTTGGTGTAATTACCTCCAAGGTGATATTTAGCCAAGGTCCCAGACAACTTTTACACTCATTGACTGCGCGTTATAGAAGAACGTTAACAACCACAGATATAGAGAGTTAGAAAATTCAAAAACTTAGTGAAATATGTAATGGTTTACAAATGATTGCAAATCTATAGAAACTACAATAAATGCTGGCAATAGCCTATGATTAAATATCAAGCAGATATGCACTTGTGTGTACCAGACACTTGCTAAGTCATAATATCCTATTTTAATATTGGATATTAGTTTGCTTACAGATCAAGATAGCTGTGTGTTCGTTTATTACTTAACAAAACAAAGCTCTCCCATTTGTATGCCTTATACAAATATTTCATTCTCATAGAAAATATTCACATCAGCTCGGTCTTCACTCGGGAAATTTATTCCCGCTTCAGGCTACAAATATCTTCCTTCCATACTAAAAAACGAACATTCCCTGTAATGTACATAGTTCTTGTAGTTCCATTAGGGGCGAAACTAGAACGATAATTGTGTGGTGTTTCTGCCCAGTGAACTCTATACAACTGGAACGATAACTACTGACAAACATGCGTATTCACCTTGAAGCCAAAATCGTTTTTCTGAGTTTTGAGACGAAATACTTGATGCCAGACGTTGGGCTGTGTGTCAAATTAAAGCTATTGAAAAGTTATATTTGTGTAGAATTTTCAAGACTACAACTACAAAGGAAATATTAAAAAATTAGATATTTGCTTTAAGCTAAAGTTTCGAAATTTCTACGCGAAATATAACTTTTTAATAGCTTTAATTTCATACACGGCTCAACATTTGGCGTCAAGTATTTCAGCTCAAAACTAAAAAAAAAAGTAACTATTTTAAGCCATTGCACCTAAAAAGGAAATCCGTCGGGCAAAACTGGATATATGAATATTCACTCCCCCCTAATTATCGTTCTGGTGCATGACGCCACTGAGTTATGTTATCTTTCTTTTTCATCAAACTTCAGGAATAAAATACAGCTAATATAATTACTACAATTTCTACCATTATTTTCATAACCAGCACAATTACTATCAGCACCTTCGTAGACACCAGCACGATCACCACCATCATAGATGAGAATTATCACCACCAACATGACTGTAACTACCATAATGAACATCTTAAACAACACCATCATACGACTGGCATTGGTCACAGTTTTTAAGGACTTGTTTCTTGCAGATGTATTCAAGATATCATATTTATTTTGTTTAACAAACTGTAACCCCAGTTAGGGAGGCAAGGGAGTGCTATCACTTGCCCAAGGTGAACTCCCAGACAAACGGAGGGAAGGAGGTGTCTTACTTCTCCATTCTAGACCAGCTCCAAGCAAAGTCTAGCCGCTTCCCCAAAACAATGTTCTTGATGATAGTTTTTCATGTTATTGTTCATTAAATTCATTATAAAATATCCTAACCGAAAAATCAGCTCCAAAACATATGTCGTTCATAACAAAGTCTTTATCAACTAAGTCTTCTACTATTGGTTTTGTCCTCGTGTGAACGGGTTCATTTCAGTTATTTTTAAGAATAAAACATTCTCATTTAATGGGTATAAATAACCTGGGGGGAACCAAAAATTTAAGAAAATATACAACTTGTGTTTAAATTTTCCTAAAAACATTTTGCGCGAGACGACTTTATTGGGGTTAAAGAAAGGATTGACTACTGAATCTCGCTAAATATCGTGCAACGAAGAAAGTTCTCGTTGTTTGATATCGTCCAAACAAGCAACTGCCCGTCGCTTAATATCGTCAAACAAGGAATTTTCTGGAATAGACAGTCGAAGGAACACCATATCGCCTTTGTAGTCAGGAAAAGCCAGCATTGTCTCTTTTGGCGAAATTTTAATTCTTTGGATTGACTTATAAGCCTTCAAGTATCGTTGATAGAAATGGTCGAGAATCGCGCCAGAGTACATGTCAAAAAATATTATCAGCTGATCACATAAAGTTAATACAATTTCTCTCTTGTGAATAAAAAATGACCTGGTAAACGAATGAACAGAATTGAATTTAGACGCTATATTTTGACAATCACCAGTGTCCAGATCAATTATCTGACTTATATAATCCGGAAAGTCCATGACTATTGCGACTTTGGGGTCATTACTGAAACTTACTGCGACTTTGGAGTTATCATTGAGACTTGCTGCTGATTCACTGCGAAATCTTAAACAATCACGGCGATATAAGACTTCATATGAAGTTGGGTTTTTGTTATTTCTTTTCCAAATATAACATTTATTCTTATTACAACCAGAGATAAAGGCACCACCAGGCGAGATTTCTACTTCCATCTCAGGCTCAATTCCAGGCAAATTGATCATTACAGGACCATCAACATCTCTGACATCGAGAACTTTCACGAGTTCATTGTATCCGAGAGCCAAGCTGACAAAGCCTTCGGAAAAACCAACGTTTGAATCTAGGAAATCGGACCAGCCCTTTAGTCTTAATTCCGACAAGTCGTCTAGCACCACGTCCTGACAGTGAGTAAACAAGATCTTTAGATTGTCATCTACCTGATATCGCGTTAATTTGGGAATCCTGATAAATTCACTAATCACAAACAGGAAATCTTCCGACCACCAGCATAAAAACCTTGACCCGCATTGACTGCTTTTGAAACGTTGTTCAACTTGCTGGTATAGACATTCCATACGTTGATACATCCATCTGAGTTGCAGGATGCAAGTCGAGAGCCGTCAGGAGAAAACGAACTGGAATAAACGACCGTTGGCTGTGACAGACATGATTGCTCTTGTTTAGGAACTAATGTCTTAAAGACAATTAGTTTTTCAACATCTGAATAGAGCCACAGATTATCTTCTAAAGCAGTCATTTTGTATCGATCAATGAAAACCTTTCGAGGAGTGGCAACAAGATAGTTCCAAGCAACAATCGCAGTTAAAGGAATACTTTCTGTGTCACTCAAATAACAATATTTTTCCGAAGAAAAAATACACTCCACACCTTTGCAGATCCACGGAAACGACATTCTAAAGTTTTTCCGACATTTCCTTATTTCTAAGTGTTTAGAATTTGGTTCCTCAAATCCCCGCTGAAAACATCGTTCACATTTCCTACTCTTTAACACAACTGGTTTCTCCCGTCCCCCGTCAGATAATTTTCGCCTATCACTTCTTTGCAATGTGATAGCGTTCCAAACACAGAACGAATAACCCGGATAAGATGAAGATTCTGAATTTGCAATAATAAATAGCCCTGTGACGCTAAAAGAGCACCAACCAACACGAAATCCAGCACAATGCGACGACAGCAGCGTTTGTTTAGCAACGTCCCAAACTTTAACGGTGTTTGAACCAACGCTAGTAACCAGTCTTTTGCCGTTAGGGGAAAATGCACAGGACAGGAACGTCTCTTCATTTCCAGGGAAAAATGGATCTTCCTTTCTTCCAGCAATGTTAAACGCCGTTTCCAGTTTACCAAATAATATGCGCGAATCGTCTGGAAAAAATGTGCAGCATCGAATTCTTTTCAATTTTGTTGAATAATTCATAATTTCAACTAAAGTTGGTAGGGATATCACATGGATAAAATTATCTATTCCAACTGCCACACTTTTTTCATCGTTAGATAAAGCAACAGCTGTTATATTATCAAAGTCACTGGGTTTCCAGACTGCTCGCGGCAAAACCGAAACTTCGTAAGAATTCGACTCGACAAAAGGTGAAAGGTTTGATAGTAGCGTCTCCGCGATTTTCTTCTCATCATCGCTGAAATAACCTTCTGGAGAACGGGTACGAACCGCTTGTAAATACCATTGTGAATATACTGTCGAATGAACTTCACTTACATCGTTATAATATCCCCGCCGGCGTGCCAGGGCATGTTCAAAAAACTCAAATTCAATGACATGATACGAAATGCGGGCGCGTAACTCTTCGTTTTTAATCCAGGAACATTGCAGCAATGTGAGCCAGAAACGCAGCAATTCACTCGAACCGATTACACTTAACATATAACATACGATAATAACATCAACTGACCAAAACACACCTTCCTCCATTTCACACTTTTCTACATGTTTTAAACCATGTTTCAGAGCGTATTCCACATCATTACTAAACTTCACTTCAACTCCTGAGCGAACATTTTCCACAATTTCTTTAAAAACCTTTTCGCATAAAAGCCAAAGCGATCTATGTCCATCATCGACCTTGACAGTATACTGGTGATCTTTGTAGCCCTTTGCTAGAAGCCAATCAATAAAGGATTTGTGAAAAACGGTTAACCTGTCATCTGAAACGTACAACAAGCACGATACGGTTTCATTAATTTTGTTGATGATGTCTTTCGTTTCGCGACAAGCTGCAGCTAAACCAAATGCCTGAGCGACGAAAGCGAGGGGAAGATCTTCTTCGGAAGCAACCAGCATTGCCAAAATATTCAAGACATCGAACTTTTCGTGTTTTATGTCGTTAAGCTCGTCTTCAAGGCGTTTAAAATATCGTTCGTAAACAGAATGCAGACCTTCTGGGAGAAACTCCATGACGTCATTATTTGTTATCTTCTCAAGATCACAGCGAGCCCTTAGCCCAGATTGAAAGTGATATGCATAGAGAAATGAGCCCTGGCATTTGGCAACAAAAATGGAAAGTAAATTAATAGTTTTATTTCGCCAAAAACGGTAAAGATATGGATGATCCTCGTAGAAATCATCGCTCATCTGACTTCCATCCACTTCCCTGCCGACTAAACTTGGAAAACATTCTTTAAAATAAAGTTCCAGATCTGAGTTATTGTTGTAATGAACATTAGAAATGTCTGTCTTTTGATCGCCTCTTATTCTTAGATCAGCAACGGAAATCTCTGGCCTGCTCGTCCCCAAGATTTTGATGTACTCGGGAAGCTCAGGAAAATATTCAGCAGTCAAATGCGTAATTTCATTCTTGTTATCTGCAGCACTTTCATCCAAGCCATCGATCACGATTAAACGTGGCTCTTTTATTTCCAATTCATCTAAGGGATTTTGCAAATATATTTGGAAGGCATCTTTGAGGCTTTGGACTTGATGAGGTCGCTTTAACTGATCAAGGAGCTCATTCTTAAACCCAGGGACGCTCTTACACATCTGACTTGCGAGAGACTGCAGCATCACCATAGGATCTCTTAAGTTTGAATCACTGAAATCACAAAAGTGACAAACAGCCAGCTTTCCATTCTTCCCAAAATCTTCACAGATTTTAGCGGCAAACACGCTTTTACCAAATCCTGGTCCAGCTGTTATTAACTTTATTCTTGAATCGCTGTCACACTTTTGAAACCACTCGTTAATTTCCTTTAACAACCACTCTCTTGTACCAGGAAGGAAAAAATTCACTTTTCCTTTAATTTTACCGTTAAATTTATGCTTAGCGAGTTTTCGCAATAAATCTTCATCACTTTCCATGCAGGATTTTGTTTCAGGATTGGTGTCCCCGGGTATTGACAGCGTACGCTTGGCCAATGAATGGCGCATTTCATATACTGCATCGCGCGTTTCATTTACTGCATCGCGCGTTTCATTTACTGCATCGCGCGTCTCTTCAGTGACTTGTGTTACATTATTTACACCAGCTTCAATTACTTTAAGCAATTTAATACACTCATCTTCGTGCATTTTCCAATCTTTAAGCTTTTGCACATACACTTCTTCTTCAGGCCCAAGAGGACATTTTTCTAAATCGTCGACATCACCCTGTGATACACCCAATCCTACTATCGCCTGCGAAATTTTCCTCCATAAAGATTGAAATGTTGAATTCTCAACTCGAGTTGTTGTTACATGCGCAATAACTTCATTTCTGTAACACTTGATTCTTGTGATATTCGCCTGCGTTGATCTATCAGTATTCGGAGGCATTACACCCCATCCTGTTGATGGAAAACCACAAATGTTCCGGAATAGAACTGTAAGTAATGTGACATCAAAAGTTTTGGAATCTGGTGGGTTGCCAGACGAAGGAAACAGTAAATCCCACTGGGAATTATTAATAACTCGAGGTTTTAACCTTTGAAGAGATCTTTTGTTTTTAGCCAGAACTCCGGGTAGACTAACAGGTGGATGGAGGGTATCAAATGTATTTCTCAAAGCCTCAGTTCCTTTGTCAACTAAAAGTCTACTGAGCCTTGTAAAATTTGCGTTTTCTTGCAGATCGACAGAAGCCATGTCATTGCACGAAGTTGTACTGCAACAAATGGGTGTTAATACCAGATGTGTTTCCTTAAAATAACCAGGGAGGGTTTCATATATCTAATGCTATCGTGTGAATGGTATTCAGTGATACCACATGGACCAAATGTGCTACGAGGGTAGTATGTCGGGAAATACATTGACAAACGATGAAGCATTATTGTGAACCAAACAGCTGAGAATGCATTCCCTGGCATGCAGAAATAGAATATAAAAAATTGAAATCTTTGCCGAGGCTAAACAACGTATCCACTGGAAGGTGATATTGATTTATTATTATTGAAGCATGACATGCAGTTTTAAGCCTGGCGTACACTTGTAAACATCGCACACTTATCACTCGTGGTAATTTCCTAGTCTGGGAGTAGTATTGACATGTTTTGTCGTTCGTGCTTAATTTTACGACACAAATACACAAATGGCAGAATATTTGTTATGTGCGGGTGTTAAGCGCACCAGTGTCCACGAGGCTTAAAGACAAACACAAACAATAGCATAAAATAATACTCAACCTCAATAAGAATACGAACAAACCATTTAGTTTGAAATATACCAAACGATGCACAGGTTACGCATCGTGCACGTTTCCGTGAATTGTTGAAACCCTGCTATTAAATAACTTTTAAGGTATAGGTCGAAGAGCAATTAATCAAGAAATGAAATTGATTTGTTTTGCTATTTATGTATTTGTGTATTATTATTTCTTTCCTTGTCTATTGGGTATTGTGTAGTTCAATCTAATGCATAAGCTATAAGGATACAGTAAGCGGCAATTTTTAATAATCACAAGGACATATATTGACTGAATTATTAACTACAAACTTCATACGTCATTATAAGACCAATAAAATTTACGAATTAACGCAACGAAAGTTACGTTTTTTAAAGTTTAAAAAATTTTAACATGACGTCACAATGCAGTGTGGTAACTAGCCAAGTGCGACCACATTTGTAATTTTTCACCAAAGTTGCTCAAATCTTTTTTGGCTGCCCCATAATGTGGACGGTACGCGTAACCGTAAGAATATTCTTGCGTTACGTTTTCAAATTTTTCCTGCATCGTGTGGACGGGGCCTGAGTGTTCATGTGTTTGCTGGGTGGATTTCATCTTTGCAGGTTACCTCGAATACACTTGCATTAATTGGTGCATATTTTATATTAAAATTTAAATATTACGCTAGGTTTAAATTTCCTGGTATATACGCAGGTCAACTCACACGAATGTATGTTTAATTTTTAATGAATAATGATTCGGGGTTCATAAATATTGCTTGTTTCTATCAAGATTCAGGGTCATTTCAATCTCAACTGCATGTTTTGAAAGAAAGACAACGCTGTATCTTTAGTTAGTTTTCTGATAAACACGGTTTATGAAACTTGAACAAGACACGGAGATTTCTTCGCAAGAAAAATATTGCACGTTTTCTGAATGGCGATGACACATACAGTAATACGAATAGACTTGTTTGGTTGTCAACTTCAACAATCTTTAATCTTGTAAACGCGCTTTGGTTTGACTGAGAATTAAAGGTTGTCAACTTTTAATAAGCCAACTTTTAAATTGTTCCGCGTGGGAAAGATTTTAGAAACAGACAATATTAGAGTCGATGTATAAAAAGAGAATGTGTGTGTCTAATTCAATTGTTCGTTTGCCTAGAGGCTTAGAATTTCAGCTTCTTGAATTGAATCTTTATACAGAACGCCCAATTCAAACCCTCGAATTCTTATAATTTATTATTCAAAATATTGATTGTATATTAAAATTTTAGGAAATTACTAAAAGATTAAATGATTTAGCTCTGTGCTGCGCCACAGAATAAACACGCGTACTCTTAAAAAAGGAAAGAATATGACCAACGCCGCGACAAAAACTTACCTCTCAAATTTTGAAAGCGGCAAAGATTCGCCAGAAATATAACAAACAGATGTGCGGAAATGAAGACTTGAATCCTAGGAGGAAAAACTTTGTAATTCTCAATGTAATTTAAAACTGCCATGCACCTTAGAATGCCATGTGAGTGTCATGTAGTTATGGAATTTGTATATTTAGGGGGTCATTTTCATTTCATTTTTTTATACGTCATTGGCCGCGCGATGGAATGTTAGGAATTTCGCCAGTAAAGAGTCTAAAAATCGAACTTTAATCGTAAATTTCACAAACTTCTAGTCCGAATTTTTCGACAAGGTCGGTATGTTTATGATCGGAAAACACGAATTTTTTAGAAAATGCAAAAAAAACGATATCGAAATTTTCATTTCACATACACTTTAAAGAAGTGAGGAATGTTTTTCAGTATCAGTATCACACAAGACAACAACGCGACGAAGCGCTGTGCAGTGCCAGGCATTTAATAATGCAAGTTTATTACACGTGCTCTAGGAGAGAGTTTACATATTGCTTGGTGGGATGTTTACTTTTAAATTCCTATATGAAAGCAAGATTTATCATCGATGTTTTGGCAGGCTTAGACGTACGAATGTTTATAAATGATACTTAAATACTTTAAATGTGCCAGCTGTCGACTGACACACTTACACGACTATCATACAACTAGTTTTTTGAAGGCTTTCGTCGGAACTAGAACACTGCACTCTTAAGTCGATATAAGCATTGATACAGTAATATGTCACGCCGTGCGGATTGTTAGGCTATACCTATAATCGCAGTTCGTATTTGTGAATTGTGATGATGATGTAAATGTATTATTTTTGGAGTATTTATAAGGAGTATTACTTGCGTGATTTGTCGTGTCAGTCCTGAAAAGCTTAAAACGATTTTCTTAAAAGCTTTATATTGTGAATATTTATTTGCTTTTCGCTCAATAGTCAAATTTCATTTGTAAATTTTTGCCATAATGGTATATATCAAAGTAACAATCTGAATATATGTATATAGAAGACGAACTTCGTTCCACACAATAAGAAATTCTGTACACGTTTATTATTCTTATCATGATGGGGGTGATGATGCTATTGTGCTATATATATATATATATATATATATATATATATATATATATATATATATATATATATATATATATATATATATATATATATATATATATATATATATATATATATAATGAGGTTACGCAGTAACCAAGGTTAATATCGTAGGAACTGCGCGCGGACTGGGCAAAAGGGCGGCGAAGGGCCTGGGACGGGGCTCATAACTCAGGAAGCCATTAGCGTATGTATCGCCAGCAAGAGAAGTAGTCCGCTAGTTAGAAATTTTTTTTTTTGGTGATTGTTGGTGTTGCCGCATAAAACTTGGAAATAGCAATGGCGTCAGAAAGAGATTCACGCGAAGAACATGGGGAATCGTCCCCATCTGTGAATTGGGCCGCGGCATTTAACTCGCCGGAGTTTTGCGCTGGCTTACAGCACGTGGTCGCAGAGGCAATCGCGAAATCGCTCGCTGCGAAAGAGGACGAAGTCTCTGCGCTGGAACAATTGGGCGATATACCCACGAGTTCAAGGCTTCCCGTGGTAAGTGCGTCGAGCACGAATCAAGGTATGTTAACTGCTCCTTTCTTTCTGGGGATTGCTGGGTCAGCGTCGGCTACACAATCCAGCGCTAGTTTCGTGGATACGAACACGGCAGCATTGACTGAACCCACTCAGTCGTTACCCGCTACCACACTAACCTCGGTGGGACCGGTTGGTGGGCTGAATCATGCCTTTATTTTGGGTCCGGGGCGTCCTTCCATCCCAGCGAAACTTGTGACTCAAATTTTGGCCAATAAGTTTGTCGAACTGTCCGAACTTATCCCAGAAACCGCGAAGCCCCATTAAACGAAGTACCATCCTTTGTTATTGATGGCCGCTCGATTGTCCCTACCAGTACATCGCGCAAGAAAAACGAACTTCGCGATATTTTGACGTGGGTCGAGTGCTTTAATAGTTATATCACTGTGATAACCTCGGCCAGACCTGACAGGGCGCGTGATTTACTCTCCTATATGGCCTTGATCATTCGCATGGCTAAACAGTTCCCCGGACGGTGCTGGCTGAATTATGATCGAGCGTTTCGCCTACACGCCGCGGCGTCCAATTCAACGAATTGGAATCAGATTCATTCGGATCTATACCATTACCATACTGCGGTCTCGGCACAATCAACGCCGCCTTCGGTCTCTAGATTTCGGGAACCTCGGGGGGACCAAAATTCGCCTATTGCTTGCAAATCATGAAACTCAGGGGCGTGCAGTAGTCCCCGCGAGTTCTGTAGATTTCACCACAAATGTGATCGAGTGGGATGCGGCGGTGCGCATCGACGGATCCATTGCCAAGAATCCCCTCGGAAACGAGGGCGTAGTCGGGCGAAGAATCAACTCGCCGGCGCCAGGCAAGAAGAGATTAGAGACAGCATAATCAATAACAATAGTTCTTCGTCCGGTTGTGTATTAAATAACATTTTTACTCTTCCTTGTGTGTCCTCGGTAACTCCTATTAATGTAGACAATTTTTCCATACAATTATGCGGTCATCCGGATAAAGCGAAAGTGGATTATGTTTAAGTGGTTTACGGGACGGGTTTCGGCTCGGGTTCCACTCCGAATCTACCACACTAAAACCAGCAAAGTCAAATTGCCCATCAGCGCGGGAACATCCCTCGGTGATTGATGAATATGTGGCTAAAGAAGTTTCGGTAGGTCGCGTATTTGGTCCTACTCCTGTACCCCCCCTGCCTAATTTGCAAGTCAGTCGCTTTGGCGTCATTCCCAAAAAAGACGGGGGGTGGCGACTAATCCTCGATTTGTCATTTCCCTTCGGCCATAGCGTGAATGATGGAATTCACAAAGAGGAATTCTCTCTGACTTATAGTAAAGTGTCAGATGCTATCGCGCTCATTGTCAACACCGGACGCGGGGCACTTATGGGCAAAGTAGACATAAAAAGCGCGTACCGCATAATCCCTGTGCATCCGTCCGATCGTCACTTATTGGGCATGTTTTGGCAAGGGAGTTATTATGTGGACTTGGCATTACCCTTTGGCCTGCGTTCAGCCCCAGGTATTTTTAACAGCGTGGCTGATTTATTTCATTGGTGTTTAGTTACTAAGTGGAACACTAGTGACTTGTTGCACTACCTGGACGATTATTTCACTCTAGGGCCACCGGCCTCTGACACGTGTGCGGAGCGCCTTCGCGCGATTGACCACGCAGCCAAAGAAAGCATCCCCCTATCGCCGGAAAAATGTATCGGCCCTACAACCTGCCTCACGTTTCTTGGGATCGAGTTAGATTCGCTTAAGATGACCGCGAGCCTCCCCGTCGGCAAACGCGCTGAGATTGTTACCATGCTTCACGAATGGGCCAATAAACGCACATGTAAATTGAAAGAACTCCAGTCCTTGGTGGGCAAACTTAACCACGCCTGCTCGGTAGTTCCCCAGGGTCGGACATTTGTGCGCCGTCTGCTGGACTTGTTAAAAGGTCACTCCAGCAAGCAGTCTCGGTTTATTCGCCTAAACAGAAAGTGCAAACGCGATATAAAGTGGTGGCGCTCCTTATTGCCTTCGTGGGACGGTGTCTATTTTTTTGATTTACCTGATTGGGCCCCAGTCGCGGACCTTTTCTTGTCCACGGAAGCATCCGGTAGTATCGGGTACGGTGCGTTTCACGCCGGAGAATGGTTTAACGGCTCGTGGTCTGATGCCCAGCGTTCGCTCAGTATTGCATATAAAGAGCTATTCCTATAGTCATTGCCTGCTATATTTGGGGCGAGCATTGGCGTCGGCGTCGTATCCAATTTTGTTGTGACAATCAGAGCGTTGTAGCGGTTATTTCGTCCGGAACGTCTAGGGACAGCGGTCTCATGCGGCTGTTACGCAAGCTGTTCCTCTGCGCAGCGCAACATAAGTTTAAAGTCACCGCGGCACATGTCCCGGGAAAGGAAAACGGTATTGCTGATGCCCTCTCTCGGTTTAATATGCAGGTATTTCGTCAGCTGGCACCACACTCCCGTCAAGATCCCGTCGCGATCCCGCCAACCTTGCTAGCTCGTCTGAGCTCGCCGAACTAAATCAAAACGCTCGAGCTCTCATGTTTTAGGGCATCGCCAGTACCACCAGGCGTACATATGATTCCGCTCAGCGTAAATTTCTCGAGTTCTGCCATTGGAGCCAACGCCTCAACCCGATTGGTTCTCCCCTGCCGGCGTCTGAATGGACACTAATATTGTTTGCCACCTATCTGTCAAAAACCATCAAGGCAGCATCGATAAAGGTTTATCTAGCTGGGATACGTTCCCTCCACATCGAACACGGCCTCGCGAACCCGCTTGCTAACTGCCTGCGATTGGAAAGGGTATTGCGGGGAATTAAGCGCTCCCAGGGCATCTCGAAACGTGAAAGACTTCCAATTACGTTGCCGGTGCTTTCTCGCATTCGGGCGGTGCTGGATCTCGACCGGTACGACGATATATTGTTTTGGGCGGCCTGTTGCACCGGCTTTTTCGGTTTCTTGCGCTCTGGCGAATTTACGACAGCGAACAGCTCGTTCGACGCGCGTGTGCATCTGGCTGTAGAGGACGTTCAGGTTGACCATCATAAGCAGCATCAACCCATTTCGCCAGGGCCACACCATCCGTCTGGGCATCTCGGGAAAAGAAGAAGTCTGCGCAGTCCGTGCACTGCTGCGCTACCTTCACCGGCGGGGTGGGGACGGTGGACCGCTATTTCGCCATACAACGGGTCTGCCACTGACTCGGACGACTTTGACAGCCTGGCTCAAAACCGCGGCCGCCCGCGCGGGATTAGAAGGGAACTTTTCCGGCCATAGCTTTTGTATCGGGGCGGCAACCTCGGCGGCGGCAGCGGGTATTCCTGACCATCTCATCAAAACATTAGGGCGGTGGTTCAGCAATGCTTACCAGTTGTATATACAGACACCTACCCAGCTTTTAGAAACGGTCCCGGCGCGCATGGTTAATAATGTCACATAATGATGTCAGGTGTACTTGTCAAATAAATCTCTGCATGTTGCCTTGTGTATTGGATGTGGTCTATGTTTGTACTTTGTTTTTTTTTTGTTTTGTTTTCTTTTTCTAAGCGTGGCTTAGCATTGGGGGGCGGTCCCTTGCTAATTGAAGCATCGCAGCGTTGCTTAGCAGTGGGGTGCGGTCCCCTGCTAATTGAATCTTACCAGCGTTGCTTAGCAGCGGGGCGTGGTTCCTGTACTAATCGAATCATAGTAGCGTTGCTTAGCAGTGGGGGGGTGGTCCCTTGCTAATTCAATCTTACCAGCGAGGCTTAGCAGCAGGGCGTGGTCCCTGGGCTAAGTGAAGCATAGCAGCGTTGCTTAGCAGTGGGGTGTGATCCCCTGCTAATTCAATCTGACCAGCGAGGCTTGGCAGCAGGGCGTGGTCCCTGGGCTAATTGAATCATAGCAGCGTTGCTTAGCAGTGGGGTGTGGTCCCCTGCTAATTGAATCTCACCAGCGTGGCTTCGCATTGGGATGTGATCCCTTTGCTAATGGAATCATAGCGCTTAACGTCGCATCTAGGGTTGTTCCCTTTGCCAGCGCCGGTCTTGGCACCGGGCCCTCGTCCCCGTAGACGCCTGGCGAGGCTAGGTCGCATAACGACGGCGTCGGTCGATAATTCTACGGTCTTGTGAAATCGTGTGGATGGTTCGGGGGGGTAGAGGAAAAATAAGATTACGTTACTTGGAGTGGTGAAATTTGGTGAAATTCCACCGTTGGTGGTCAGGTCCGGACTAAGCAGACTCACGTAATGCGGACCTAAATCCAAGTAACTGATAGTGTCAGGGTAGTGGCCAAGTCTGCACCTAACCATCCACACGGGTAAGTATAGTGACGTCCGAGATTAAATGAGGTTACGCAGTAACCAAGGTTAATATCGTAGGAACTGCGCGCGGACTGGGCAAAAGGGCGGCGAAGGGCCTGGGACGGGGCTCATAACTCAGGAAGGCGCGGATATAGCGAGGGATGAGCACGCAAGGAAGCCATTAGCGTATGTATCGCCAGCAAGAGAAGTAGTCCGCTAGTTAGAAATTTATTTTTTTCCAAGTAACTGATAGTGTCAGGGTAGTGGCCAAGTGCCCAAGTCTGCACCTAACCATCCACACGGGTAAGTATAGTGACGTCCGAGATTAATATATATATATATATATATATATATATATATATATATATATATATATATATATATATATATATATATATATATATATATATCTATATATTATATATATATATATATATATATATATATATATTATATATATATATATATTATATATATATATATATATATATATATATATATATTATATATATATATATATATATATATATATATATATATATATATATATATTATATTATATAGGTCAATGGTTGTAAATACGTCTTCGTTGCTGATCAGGCTTCCCTCATTGCGGGCTATTCTTAGCCCACAATCAGGCGTTGTTTTGACTTTTTGTTTTCTACGTACTGGCCCATTTTTGTCATGTGTTTTGCTCCCATACAAAACATGTATTCTCCCCTATTTACTTTCATTCTAACTCTCCTGACAAAGGCCCTCAGGTGGAAACGTTGAGAAGTGTTTTGTCTATTTCAGGCAGTTGTTATACCACATTTGATGCCATTATATGAATTGCCCAACTCTTTTCAATTTGAAGATGAGAAATGTTCATGTGGTGAATAATGTATTGAAAAGTTAAATACATCCCAATCAACCTGACCTGATAAACCTTCCAGTCAACCAGTGGACATATGCAGATCATTTAAAGTAACTTTTTTAAAATTAATATTCAAAAATGGGTTTTCCGGGACGAGATTGAAGTCGCAAGTGCAGCACCTTGTCACACAAATTATTTTGCAAATACAATAGTATGTTAGTTCTTATGCACATGCAAGAAACATTAGGAAGTTTTATGAATACTGTCTGAATAACACTGTTAGAAAATCAGAGTGTTATGAGACTTTTAATTTCATTACCTCTGGATCAGACAGTTTACATATGGTTTGATTTTTTCAGTTATTATTATTAGATTATTTTGGTTATTATTTCATAGTTTAAATAAATCTAGCATGATCCTATTTGATTTACATGAGATGTGATTGAATTAGTGATTAGGTGTTAGTGTAAACAGAGAACATAAGAATATCGGGTCCATTGTGAGACTAATGTGCGAGAGAGAGAACGATAGTTTGACAATCAGTGGAGATCCACTCTTCAGGTACTGTGAGTTGTGATTAAGTTTGTTTCTATAATAGTTTAACTGTAATCTAATCAGAATCCAATCAATTTAGAATTTACAATATATTATGAAAAATCTCCATTAAATTGTGTTTGATTTCGCCAAATTGATATAACATTTATTGTTTGACTCATGTGATCAAGTGAGTTTTAACCTATAAATCTTAATGAGAATACAGTATGAATGATGTGTCATAAAAAATATTATAAAATTTGATCTTTATTCTGTGATTTGAAGGTTTCTTCTGAGGGGAAACCCATTTGGGAAAACATTTTCCCCTTTGCACCAACTGGGGAGTTCCCCTGCCATAAACATGCATATTTGGCATGAATTAGATTTTTAGGACAAGAAAGGAAAAAAAATAATGGCTTGACTATGGAGGAATTTCACCCTCTTGGATGGGCAAAAAGATTCTAATAAAATTCTCATCTAATCAGTGATTTACTGGTTATGTGATAATTATCCAGTTCCACAATGGTTTCAAACAAATGTGTTTCCTAACAATTTTCCTAACAATGGGTGATTCCATTTGAAGTTGAACTTACTGAACTAATTAATTTGTGATAACTCTAATAATTTCATCTCAGCAGGTGGAATAAAATGTTTAAAATGGACATGTAATGAATTAATTAGTGAATGTTTTAAAATTTCCTGTGTTATTAAAACTAGGGGAGCATTGTGTAAATTGAAAATTAGATGTGTTTTAATATAATGACCATATTATAGCAGAATTCATGAAACAAAACTATAGCACTGACTGGTGTACTATTTTGCATACGATATTAACTACAAAACGTTGAAAAATAAATTCTTCCCCTACCCAGCTAAATCAGATGTGAATATTTCTGTTGACTATTATTACACAAAAGCAAATATGTATATATATTAAAGCAACAATGTTCAATATAGTACGTGAAACACAAATATAAACCAAACTATCCCGTCAAAACATTGTAATGTATAGCAAAATAGACAAAGATGCATTCGTATATCGCAATATGAGAGAAAACATACCTTGATTTAATACCTTCGGCAATCTTGTCTTGTCTATGCAGTGTATATTTATACCACGACTGGTCCGAAGCCGTATGCCTTTGTCTTTGGGCTTGTCTGTCTTGATAAAGCTTGTTAAAACAACTTTAGTTTTGTTCAAACACTAAATCAACACTTCCCAGGATTACTTTGGGAGCTTCTAGTCCAAAAATACGATCATTTTGACAAATAAGGAACACAGACTTTGAAGAAATACAAAGACTCAAAGAGAACAAGAACTGGGTGAGGTTTTGGGTGCGCCACTGAGCTATATGGCGCTGCAAACTAAAGTTGGTTATGGTTAGGGTTAGGGTTAGGGTTAGGGTTAGGGTTAGGGTTAGGGTTAGGGTTAGGGTTAGGGTTAGGATTATAATACTTTGGATTGTAAGTATTTTTGCAACTCCGTTGGCCAGTTTTTGGATCCGTGCTATACTCATAATGAATAGGCTTTCTTCTCTTTTTTCGCTTTTCTAAAATATCATTACCTTGCCTAATAAGACAATCCATGGAAGGGAGTTTCTTCTTGCGAGCATTGGCAGCCCTTTCAAAATTCTCCGCCATTGTGAAAGATTTGAGTTGGTTTTGACCCAGTTTCTTTCCGTTTCATAATGCTCGGCCACGCGTCGCGAAATTATTGTTTTAGTAATTTCGGATGTGTTTAAGAATTTATTGATATAATAAATTTAGAAGTGGAGCTCATGTTGGGTTATAAGGCCATGTTACGAGTCACGAAATATATTATAATAATTAATTAAATATGTATTGCATAATTATCAGGCACTAATAATATAATGCTACCATTCAATGGTTCTACGGTTCTATGGTTCTATGGTTCTACGGTTCTATGGTTCTATGGTTCTATAGTTCTATGGCTCTACGGTTCTATGGTTCTATGGTTCTATGGTTTTATGGTTCTACGGTTCTATGGTTCTATGGTTCTATGGTTCTATGGTTCTATGGTTCTACGGTTCTATGGTTCTATGGTTCTATGGTTCTATGGTTCTACGCTTCTATGGTTCTATGGTTCTATGGTTCTATGGTTCTATGGTTCTACGGTTCTATGGTTTTACGGTTCTACGGTTTTACGGTTTTTTAGTTCTATGGTTCTACGGTTCTAGGTTCTACGGTTCTACGGTTCTATGGTTCTATGGTTCTACGGTTCTACGGTTCTATGGTTCTACGGTTCTACGGTTCTACGGTTCTATGGTTCTACGGTTCTATGGTTCTACGGACTACGGTTCTATGGTTCTATGGTTCTATGGTTCTACGGTTCTATGGTTCTATGGTTCTACGGTTCTATGGTTCTATGGTTCTATGGTTCTATGGTTCTACGGTTCTACGGTTCTATGGTTCTACGGTTCTACGGTTCTGTGGTTCTATGGTTTCACGGTTCTACGGTTCTACGGTTCTAGGTTCTACGGTTCTATGGTTCTACGGTTCTATGGTTCTATGGTTCTATGGTTCTATGGTTCTATGGTTCTACGGTTCTATGGTTCTATGGTTCTATGGTTCCTCGGTTCTATGGTTCTATGGTTCTATGGTTCTATGGTTCTACGGTTCTATGGTTCTATGGTTCTATGGTTCTACGGTTCTATGGTTCTATGGTGCCACGGTTCTACGGTTCTATGGTGTCTACGGTTCTACGGTTCTATGGTTCTACGGTTCTATGGTTCTACGGTTCTAGGTTCTACGGTTCTATGGTTCTACGGTTCTATGGTTCTACGGTTCTATGGTTCTATGGTTCTACGGTTCTATGGTTCTACGGTTCTATGGTTCTACGGTTCTATGGTTCTATGGTTCTATGGTTCTATGGCTCTACGGTTCTATGGTTCTACGGTTCTACGGTTCTACGGTTCTAGGTTCTACGGTTCTATGGTTCTACGGTTCTATGGTTCTACGGTTCTACGGTTCTACGGTTTTATGGTTCTATGGTTCTACGGTTCTAGGTTCTACGGTTCTATGGTTCTACGGTTCTACGGTTCTATGGTTCTACGGTTCTATAGTTCTACGGTTCTATGGTTCTATGGTTCTACGGTTCTATGGTTCTATGGTTCTTTGGTTCTACGGTTCTATGGTTCTACGGTTCTACGGTTCTGTGGTTATGTGGTTCTATGGTTCTATGGTTCTACGGTTCTACGGTTCTACGATTCTACGGTTCTACGGTTCTAGGTTCTAGGTTCTACGGTTCTATGGTTCTACGGTTCTATGGTTGTATGGTTCTACTGTTCTATAGTTCTACGGTTCTATGGTTCTATGGTTCTATGGTTCTACGGTTCTACGGTTCTATGGTTCTATGGTTCTACGGTTCTATGGTTCTATGGTTCTATGGTTCTATGGTTCTACGGTTCTATGGTTCTATGGTTCTATGGTTCTATGGTTCTACGGTTCTAGGTTCTACGGTTCTATGGTTCTACGGTTCTACGGTTATACGGATATATGGTTCTATGGTTCTACGGTTCTATGGTTCTACGGTTCTACGGTTCTATGGTTCTATGGTTCTATGGTTCTACGGTTCTATGGTTCTATGGTTCTACGGTTCTATGGTTCTATGGTTCTATGGTTCTATGGTTCTATGGTTCTATGGTTCTATGGTTCTATGGTTCTATGGTTCTATGGTTCTATGGTTCTATGGTACTACGGTCAGTAGCGTAGCCAGTCTGTCGATTTGTCCCGCCTATGCTAATATTTTCGTGTTCACTGATTGTGAAAACAATAGATTTCTTAAGACACGAATTATTATAATAACTCGAAATTTACATAGCGGGACAAAATCGTCAGGCTGGTTACGCCACTGTCTACGGTTCTATGGTTCTATGGTTCTACGGTTCTATGGTTGCATGGTAATTTGCATATATACTTTAACTTTTACTATAAAATACATATAGCAAAAGTACAACACCTTATATATTCCGTTTATCGTTTATCCTGGATGTTGCCCACTGTTTGCCGACCTCTGGATCAATAGAACAGGCGTTTCGCAACGTTTTGACCATCGAATTACTTGCCTTGGAGTTTCTACTTTCCGCCAACCGACTGTGTTCAAATGTGCATAATAGGCTTTGTATGGTTGAACTGCCTTATGAGACTGATGATAAGTGACTGCAGAAAAAATCCGGACCGTACAGGAAAATTTATATCAGGAATACGAAAGACAATATCTTTAACAAAATTTAATGGTATATTACAGGTCGATTCATCAGCAATCCAAAAGTCGGTGCAAATGCATCCAACTTTACGGAAATTGTTCGGACAAATGTAAGTGTAAAGGTCAGTGTGGAAATAGTGTTTGCAGGAAAATAAACAAACATACGAAAAGTAAGCGTAGTTCAAGAAAGCGCAAGAAACAAACATTGGAAACGTCGCCATTAAAGACGTCGCGTATTTTTTATGAACAGAGAACAAATGTTCCGATCGACGAATCTTTCAATCACCTGGAATTTTTGTTAATTATGGTAATTTGGGTGGCACGCGAAAACAGCGATCAAAATACCAACGAAGAAGAAATTTGGAAAATTTATAACAACTTAATTGAGCTAATTTTAGAGCATGAGTTTTTATCAGTTCTTCCGATCTTCAAAAAAACGTTAGAAAAGGTACTGAAATGTCGAAAAGTAGCGTCTAAACGGAAACGCTAGACTCTTTAATTTGTGGAACTCTCTCTGTTTTTCATCAGCCGAATTCATATTAGTGACGGGAAACTCATCTAAGACGGAAAACATGTTTGATGTGAACTGGTCACAAAGGGTTTTTCGTCCAAATTGTTTTTTACTTTTAGTTACTTTTTACTTTTAGTGTATTTTATACCATTGTATACAGTTGTATATATAGTTGTTATGTAAAAATGTTCTTAAATATACACTTTTAAATATACAAAATAGTGCGATAGATACTCGCGGAGTTTACTGAATATAGCTAAATTAGTGAAGAGGATATGTTTCGGATCTAATTATATTAATTATATCATAATCACTTTAAGAGTCTTCGTCCTTTTCCAATACAATCGTATAAAGGAAGCAAACCGAAATTTACGCTTCTTCGTTGTGATTCCTTGTTTAAAGCAATATAGTCTCTTTTGCGGTATACATTCCGCATATTTACACTTTTTTTTACAACCTTCCCTGCGTCACAGGCCGCAAATGGAAATATGAAATTGTGCTCATGCATGCATACATTCTTATAGAACCTCAGATTCATTGCCAGTCCGTTTCATATAAAGAGTTAATCTTCCAGAAATACAGAAGGTATAGAATTACACAATCCCAGTTGTACGAAGGATCGATAGAGGAAACTCAAGGATACTAAATTTTACTATAACCGTTGTGGAAATGTTTAGGAAGCAATCATAGTTATAGAAGGTAACCCTCAGGTTATAGATACCAAAGTTTACTCCAAGTTATACACCGAACAGAGGACAACTTTTACCGGCTCTTAAAAGAGTGACTTAAAACAAATCATCATAGCACTATCCAGTTCCGTACAACCGGCACCATGCATGCAAAACAATATAAAATTTAGAACCTAGAACCATAGAACCGTAGAATCATAGAACCATAGAACCGTAGAACCATAGAACCGTAGAACCATAGAACCGTAGAACCGTAGAACCATAGAACCGTAGAACCATAGAACCATAGAACCATAGAACCATAGAACCGTAGAACCATAGAACCATAGAACCATAGAACCGTAGAACCTAGAACCGTAGAACCATAGAACCATAGAACCATAGAACCGTAGAACCGTAGAACCATAGAACCGTAGAACCGTAGAACCGTAGAACCGTAGAACCATAGAACAATAAAACCATAGAACCATAGAACCATAGAACCGTAGAACCATAGAACCGTAGAACCATAGAACCGTAGAACCATAGAACCGTAGAACCGTAGAACCGTAGAACCGTAGAACCGTAGTACCATAGAACCATAGAACCATAGAACCGTAGAACCGTAGAACCGTAGAACCGTAGAACTGTAGAACCGTAGAACCGTAGAACCGTAGAACCATGGAACCATAGAACCGTAGAACCGTAGAACCGTAGAACCGTAAAACCACAGAACCGTAGAACCTTGAACAAGTAACAGCAATATGGCGGTCGGTCATGCAACTGCAGTCTGTGATATAGAACAAGATTTGTATGTGAAATCTGGTACCAATCAAGCAAATTATATCACTAATGGTACAAAATATCTTA